TTTAACTCAAAAACATAACCAAATCATAAGCTAGAAGGGTACAAAATGATATACAATTATGAACCGATCAGTATTGCCAACATGTGTTATTGCTAACATATTTCCATTTCCAACAATAATTTTATCAGTACCTGTGTAAGGCTGAGCATTGGGAAGAGAGGTTGCGTTGGCTGTCATGTGGTGAGTGGCACCTGAATCAAAACACCAATTGAGGTTTGCCATATCAGCAGGAGAAGTGGACGAGTTTGCCAAATTTTCTGCCATGTATGCATGAGGTTTGCGGTTAGGACAAAAATGGGCTATGTGGCCTGGCTTGTTGCACCGAAAATAGATGACTTCACTCCGCTGGGTATTTGAATGGAATGATGAGTGGGCATTTGAGGAATTTTCTTGTGGTGTTGGAAGAAGTGGAGGGCGTCCATCAGAGAGAGTCGCAGGAGAGGAGGTGATGGCTTCAGATTGTCGGTCGCGAGGTTGAGAGGCTTGATCTGGAACCCAAGTTCCTTGATTTGGCTCCCAATGATCTGTTCTCCTGAGTCCACGCCCGCTGTGCCCTGGATTCCAATTCCTTCCACGACCACGTCCTCTTCCAGATCCGGGATAAGGATTTTGGTTGCGGCCAGTCATGTTAGAATTGGAGATGCGCTCGTTAGGCATACGGTCAGCAGCCATAGCAACGCCTGAAGCAACATTAAGAGACATTATCGAAATCAATATCAGGATGCAGATGAAGGGTTGTGGCTAACTCTTTGTATTCAAGGCCAAGTCCATCCAGAACATAACTGATGAGTTCATCATCATCCGTTGTTGCACCAGCTTGTGTGAGGGAATCAAAGAGTGATTTGGCATGATTGAGATAATCAGTTACAGTTGTGTTGTTGTCCTTTCTGAGAGTGCGAATTTGGTCTCGAAGAATTCATACACGGGTACTAGCAAGGGGTGAGAGACGCTTGGCCAACATAGTCCAGGCTTGATGAGCAGTGGTACATGGGATGAGGAGTGTCTTGATGGAGGAGGAGGAAGTTGCCTTGATCCAACTCAGGACCAGTTTATCCCTAGCTAACTCAGGGTGCACAGAGCCATCATCTTGCACTTTGGGTGGGTCTGTTTTGTTCTTGACAACCGCAGCAAGACCGTGCATCTCTAATACATCTTCAAATTGGGATTTCCAACTCAAGTAGTTGGTGCGATCCATAGGAACTGGAAACAGGGATGAGATGTTGAATGAGGTGGGCAAAGAAGGGGTTGAGAGTAAAGGTGAAGTGAGTTTTGACATTTCAGAGATCAGTTTTGACATATCAATATTGCTTGATTCTCCAGAATTGGGTGTGTTGGCCATTGGTTTGGGTATGATCGATATTTGAGGGTTAGCTCCGAAGAGCTCTGATACCATGAAGGAAGTTGAGATTCCACCCCAAAACAAATTGGCAATGGGAGGAGTAGCCCAACTCCTTATAAACCCAGGCTTGGTCCCTTAACTTTTCAATGTGGGACAAATCCTCTCAACACTTTTTACAGTTAATTTCTTCAGTATAGGGAATGCTCTTTCATCAGTTGCAGTTGACCACTCTTCCAAGTTTGCAATATCACTTACGGATAGTTCTTCGAGTGATGGAAACCATATGTCAGTACTGTCACCATAGAACTCTGTACCAATGCTCTTAACGCCATGCATTCCATGCAGAGAAAGCGTCTTAAGTAGCGGAAGATTCCCAAGAGTTGGAAGATGTTCACAACTTCTACAGTTGGTGAAATCAGCGGCAATAAGATTTGGGAGGGCCCAATTAGGAAATTTGATTCCTGGGTACCCATTTATAACTAGATTTTTCAGATTTTCATGTGGTTGTAGGCATCTAATAAGTTTTTTAGCATGCAGCGGTATATGTGATCCTGAGACACCTACTTCAGCTGGGGCATTAGGTGGTTTGGCAAATGAATCTTTAAATCCCGGAATAAGACCCCAGTATAATCCCAATGACTCAAGATTTTCCTTCATGAACAATTGTCCTTTGTCTGCCGGTGTAGCATCTTCAGTATTCTCCAGGCGAGTAATATTCAACTCCCCATGAAGATTTAAACCACCCAGTAGACCGAGATTCCCGAAATTCCATGTACTCCTCACATACCGTTTACTCCCCTTCGGCAACTTCCCGGAGACAAAAAGTGGCAATGTCTGAAGTTGATATAAGCTTTCCATACCAGAAGGCATATTAGTCAAACTAACACATCCACTTAAGTTAAGATGCCTTAGGCTGGTCAAGTGTCCGAAAAAAGGCAAAGATTCAAGATTATGGCAAACAATTAGGTTTAGGGTCTGCAAAGAAAACAGATACTGTACGCTTTCAAGTAACTGGGTGATACGCGTGTAAGACAAGTCAAAATACCTCAAACATATCAAGTCACCCAAGGAATTCGGCAGATCAACAAGATCACTGTTGTTGAGATCTAGCACTCGCAAGTATTCAAAACTTGAATAAATTTTATCTCCGTTTTGTAACGAGCCAGAATCTCCGATCAATAAGAGAGTTCGCAAATGTTTTGCTTCATATAGAGTTTTTGGAATTGAAATTCTTGCACCATATCTATAAACAACAGATGCGTGGCGAATCTCTGCTGATGACCAATTTTGTGGCCGACCCTGTTCAAGTTAGGGATGGCAACGGGCCGGGTATGGTCCGGGTTTGCCAATACCATCCCCGACCCCGATTCCCAAACCCTCCCCCGTCCCCGCCCCCATCCCGGTTTAATATGGTTCGGGGAATCCCCGGCCCGTACCCGTCGGGGGACCATCCCCCATACCCGCCCCCGTCCCCGATTTTTTAAGGAAAAAAATACAAACAAGAACTCCAAAGGAAAAATGAAGCCCCTTGAATCAGAACAAAAAAAAAAAAGAATCCCCTGAAAAACTAAAGAAGCAACAAATTAAGAACAAAATCGATATCAAATGAAAGCTTAAAAAAAATATACAAAATACCACAGTTATTAATTACTCTCCCCAACTCAAAAACTTCAAACCCATAGCAATCAGAAGAAATAGTAGACCCCAAATTTAGCAAGCACAGAATAAGAAGAAAGAAGAAAAAAGATTCGTGCACGATTTAAAAAATCGTTGTCAGAAAAAAGCTTGAAATGAAAATCTGTTGCCTGCCTTTTGTGATAGGTATAAACTTGAGTGCAGCGGCTGCAGAGAAGAAGAAGAAAAAAGGAGAAAAAGAGTGGGGCCATCGCTTCCTGCGGAGAAGAAGAAGAAAAAAGGAAGAAAAAAAAAAGATGAAGGAAAAGATGGGAGTGCGGCGGCAGAGTAAAGAAGATGAAGGAAAAAATGTAGGGTTATTATTGGGTTTGGGCTACAGGCTTAATATTGTTGGGCTATAGTTAATTTCTACTTAATTGTTTTCTTTTCTGTTTAGTTTTTTTGTTTTTATTTTTTTTGTTAAGTATTACATGGTGTGTTAGTTATTTATTTATTTATGTGGTGTAGTTAGTTAGTTAGTTTTTTTTACTGAGTGTTAAAAAAAAATTACTTCAAAAAATTTTTCTAAAAAAAACACTCAAATTCAAAATTTTAAAAATAAACAAACACCAGTAACATTTTCTTCTTCTTCTTCTTCTTCTTCTTCTTCTTCTTCTTCTTCTTCTTCTTCTTCTTCTTCTTCTTCATCATCATCATCTTGCCATGCTTCATAATGCCATCTTAATCCCTAAACCCTAAACCCTCCCTAACCCTAAACCCTCCCTACCCTAAACCCTAAACCCTAAACCCTAAACCATAAACTCTAAACCCTAAACCATACTCATAGAGTGGTATGTAATTACCAATCTACATTAGTCATCTAATTGATGAAGAGTTCTAATCTATGTATGACTTGGTATTTGATTACCAATCTACATTAATCATGCAGTTGTTGCGATAGTATATGTAGTAGTTGTCTAATGTAAATGTGATGTTTGGTATTTGAATTTGTTGATTATACATGTTTGCATATGAATTTTATTTTTAAAAATTAATGTTAGTTATGATGTTTGATTATTTCGTTATCTTTGGATTTATTGATTATACATGTTTGCATATAAATTTTGTTTTTTTTTAAATCAATATTTGTTGTGGCGTTTGATTATTTTTGTTATCTTTGAATTGTTTGAATTTGTTGATTATACATGTTTGCATACGAATTTTGTTTTTTTAAATCAGTATTTGTTATTGTGTTTTATTTTTCCTATTATATTTGGATTGTTTGAATTTATTGATTATTATACATATTTGCATATGAATTTTGTTTTTAATATACATGTTTGTTAGCTGGAATTGGAATTGTAACCATTAAATTAGTTAATTATTTCTCTATAACACAAGGACAATTGGTGGAGTAGTGGTAAGGTAAGTTGTTTGGTTCTAAAGGAGGTCATGGGTTCGAAACCCCATGCCTCCATCACAAAAATGTTTTAAGGCTTTTAAGATATATATATTAATTAAAATTAGAAATCTATATATTTCGGCCCGGGTTCGGGGACGGGGACACAATTACCATACCCGCCCCGAATTTGTCGGGGATTTTTTTTTCGGGTCTCCCCCGTACCCGTAACCGATTTGGCCCCGAAAATTCCCCCCCGTTAGGGTCGGGGACCCGACGGGGACCCGCCCCCGCGGGGATTTTTGCCATCCCTAGCCTAGGTTGTCCCCAATGTTTATTTTTAAATTTGAATGATGTGTGAATGAAAGAAAAGGACTGCCCATTAAACAAATGCAATTTTAAGAGTAAGGGAGATGTCAAATGTAAAATGTTAAATTTGAATTTGATGGTTTATGTGGCAATTTGACACTTTGGAAAAAATTTAACTACACCCAAAATACCAAATATCATATTATTTTATTATATTTTTAAAACCAAATGGGCCCATATAATGAATAAAGTTTTAAAAGATTGTAAATGATAGTGGGGTCTAGACTAAAAAAATATTTTAAAAATATTTGACATATCGGATTTGATTACTTAGTTGGAGCAACTTTAACCTTCAATTTTTGCCATTTCATGTCCATGTAACAATTTGACATATCGGTTGGAAATGCTCTGAAACTTACTTAATCCAATAATTTAAATGGTGTGTCAAAAGTGTGGTTTTACATTTGTCCCCTAATATATTTCAACATTTACAATATATCAGTCTAAAAAATAATAAATTTATAATAAAACTCATTTCTTGCATTGAGTTTACATATAAACCTTTAAATTGAAGAAAAAAAAAATCCAAAAAGGGACAGCTATAATATTTTTAAATTTGAATGATGTGTAAAATACCATTATTATCCTTACATTATGATTTTTAGTTTTTTTTTTATAGGCTTGTGTGGTACATTTAGTCTCTTTGAAAAGTCAAATGAGTTTTTTCCTAAGATTTGGGTATTGTATGATTTTTCTGTATTTTGGGCTCCATTTATGGACTTACATGTGAAAAGCTAAAATAATAAAGCATTCTCTGTTGCGCATATGTACCACTCAGTAACTTCATATTGTGTTTCTAGAATGAATACTACTTGTCTCCTTTTTTCTAGGTCTGAGGATACTGCTTGCCATCTTACCTGTAAGGAGATACTCATCCTTCCTACGAATCATAGTTTGACGCATATGCAACAATAATTCATCAAAAACACAAAAACAAAAACTTCTACACATGTATTACAATGCTATTAGCAGGAATGTAAGGAGGGAAAGTATTTTCCTTCTAGAATTATATGGGCACATGTTCAAGTGCAGTATGAATTTTCTTATTTGACTGCTAAGTCTTTCCTTAATTGATTTTTTTTAATTAACTATGTTACCCTCTGCATCGTTCGCGATTCTTAGGGGTCGTTCGGTACTGTTTTCAAGGCCCCGTTTTCATTTTCTACCAAAAACGCATTTGGTATATCGTTTTCATTTTCACAGGATTTCATTTTCTGAAAACAAATTCAAACTCATGTACGAAAACTGAAACACCAAATTATCGTTTTCATTCTCTACCCAGTGTATTGGTCTATTTGCTTTTTATCTTCTTCTTTTTATCTTTATCTTTTTTTTTGTTGGTCTAATTTTTCTTTCATTTTTTCATTTTTCAATTTTTTTTCAATTTTTTTTTCCTTGCACTTCATTATTTTATTTTCTTACACTAGTGTATATTAATTTTATGATAAAAGCATCATATATTATTCAATTTCATATTTTTGTTTAAATATTTATTTTAAATTAAAGATAATAGAATTTATTATCTAGGTTTTTGTAACATTATTATTCTCAAATGAACATTTTTCATTGTTTATAATAATTTTAGTCTTTATTTAAAAAAAAAAATTAGAACAAGAAATGAGCATAAATATACTTGAAAAATAACTCACATATTATTATTCTCAAATTGTCATACCAGACTCGTTTCACTATTTTTATTTTTTGAATATGTTTTTCAATTAATCTACCAGATACATTTTCAAATCCTGAAAATGAAAATTCGTTTTCCTGTTTTCATTCTTAAAAAAAATATTCACAAAAAACATTCTTTGAAAACGTTACTGAACGGACCCTTATTGTTTGGCCGATGCATGCATTACCCTAACAAGTGGGTAGTAAATAAAACATAAATAGTAAGCCTCCTCAGTCTCTCGTGTGCATATGTGTGATAGCTTGACTGAGTAAGAATGGCTAGCATTGTCCCCACATGTGCAATTGTTATGGAAGTTCTGAACAAACGTAACTATGTGAATTGGAGTGTTTTGGTTAAAAATTACTTGTTGGCTCAAGACCTTTGGGATGTAGTAGCTGAATCTCTCAAAGATGAAGAGGAAGAATCTTAACACGGTGCTTTAAGAAGAAGCACACATCAATAATCTAATTGAGTGATCAAATGATTCCAAATTCAAGTGATTTTTCATACAAATGATCTTTCAAATGAATATCTACAAAATAGACGGTTTGGATTAGTGAAATACAATGTAGAGTGGACCTTACAAGGGTGTCCCTCAAATAAGTTTGTTTGATGGATCCCTCAATGGAAGCTCTCTGTAAACTTATTTAAGGAATCCCTCTGTGAGCCCCTGGTTAGTTGGAGCCATTTGCTTGAAAAAGAAAATTTTTGGACTAAGATTGGTGAAGATTGGAATTTCAGGAAATTAAATTTGAATTTTTGGACTCTATTTGGATTTATATTAAGTGTTGGAAAATTTTCCAGAAGTTCGGGAAA